TTGGAAACGCTGTGCGGGAACGGACGAAAACAATGAATGTGGCGCGCTTAGTTTGCTCCGCTCACTGTGCTGGCTCCGATTAGCTATTCAGTGCCGGTCTCCAGAGTTCTCGCTGATAACGAGATCCAGACGTGACTCTCCGATTTTGCGACTTCCAGTCGCTCGCATGCAGCCTCTGCCGGTGTGAACATCAGTCGCTTTTTGATCGCGAGTCACGAATGGTCGCGCGACCACTGCTAGTCGCCGGTGTGAACCAGCCTTTAGTGTTGTGATCGTTGTTCTGAAAATACCGTGATTTAAAAACAGGAATAATTTTTTTCTGAGAAACTGTAGAAATGTTTTAGCTGTTTTAAGCATTCACTCGTATAGCCTAGCTACTACCATATGAATTAAGTACGCTATTTGTCGCGTCAAGCCAATGAAAAGCGAATAGTCCTTGTCGTCACGTCACACTACATGACGTTACTTCCCATAACCGAAATAGCCGGTGTGTGTAGCCGTAGTCTGAAATCAAATTAGTTTGTCCCGTGAATAAGTAATATAACCGCGTAGATTTCGGCGTTGCCATTTGCGTAACGATATTGGTGCGTTCGACACCTACCAGAAGAACCGAAGATAAATACGTGCTCAAATAGCGTTGCAGGGCCCCTAAAGGGGGTGATTACGAGAGCACCCAGCTCTCGTAATCGGCTAGATGAGATAGATAAATGCGTAGTTATACGTCAATAGTTCTTGCACTACGCGAATAAATGCTTCAGATTTAACATTGCTAAATATACCGTTTCTTCTAGTGCACAACCATGAATCACTAGGCCACATATTCTAAAATCATCGGATCTTAGGATACGGGGACCCGTAATTATTTATGCGCCTTTAGCTCGAGGGAAACTTAACTGAAAAAGGAAAAAGGGGGGGTATAGGTGCTCACGCTACTCGACGGCCACTAGGGATTAACCGAACTGTACTACAACAGCGCCCCGCCGCGGTGGTCTAGTGGCTAAGGTACTCGGCTGCTGACTCTCAGGGCGCGGGTTCGAATCCTGGCTGCGGCGGCTGCCTTTCCGATGGAGGCGGAAATGTTGTAGGCCCGTGTGCTCAGATTTGGGTGCACGTTAAAGAACCCCAGGTGGTCAAAATTTCCGGAGCCCTCCACTACGGCGTCTCTCATAATCATACAGTGGTTTTGGGACGTTAAACCCCACATATCATTACTACAACAGCCTTTGTCGATCAAATACTGGTTAACCCCCCCCCTTTGTAATGCCTTATTGCGCTAAGGGTACTGTGATAAACAAATACAAGCCCCACCCCAGAGGACTGTTATCATCAAATGGAAAGCAATCGCTGGCAATGTAGAACTTGCAATTCACAACTCCACAATACTCTTCATGGGCTGGCAACACTGGTCGACAACAGCTGGCCTCTTTGGTGAATGGCATCATATTTACTTCAAGTTGAAGACTCCCGTCTAGTGAGCCCGTGGTTGAAGATAGTAACCACTCATGTGTACGAGTCTGTACGAAAGGAAGTGCACTTTTGCGCTGCGTTGCTACACTGCTACTACAACGCCTTGTCAGTTTCAAGGTAACTACGCTGCAACTCGTGCTGCCGATTACTATCCCAGTGAGTACCGTTGTTCCGTAAAAATCTGAATACGCAAGCCATTCATTTGTACACGACTAAGCTATACCCGGGCCAGTGTATCTTGAGATAACGCAAATCGTAGTTTCGATTGCAATAGGAGTGCTCCTTTCTTTCCGTTCGCTGATCCGGATATCTTATTAAGCTTCTAATGAATGAGGTCGTGTTCTTCCTAACACTCACTTGTTTGTGCTGGCAGTAGATGACATTCAAAGCAGATGTATGCACCCACGCTACGAATGCACCGACATCCTGTATATACGTCCGGACATACATACGCGCACGCTATGGACGCTCGACCTTCACACGCACGTTTGCTGAAATCAAACATATTCGGAGGGAAAGACTACAGCAGCTTCAATTGATAATGGGAGCACTACGACTGGCATATAGAACAAGCATATGCGAAAAATGCAGTCACCATTGGAACGCACACCCAATTTCTTGATGCGTGGCTTATATAAACTAATCTATACTCCGCGCGTTGAGAAGCCAGAAGGAAGGAAGGAAAATGGTAAGAAAAGAACTACAGGAATGCTAACCAGCCCATAGGCAGCCGGTTTGCCACCCTGTGCGTGGGAGGAGAATGGCAGAGATGAAAGATAGAGAGGATAGAGGGGAAGAGGTGGAAGAGAGATAAACACAGCACATTATGGAGTACACGCGCGAAGAAGATCGAATATTCATTCATAAGAATGCAAGCAACCTAAGCGATGGTATACTCATGGAGAAACATTACAGCGTCTCGACCGAATTGATTAGATCAAACTACCGTAGTGTCGGTCACCTTCTTTCCAATGCGTAGGTTTCAAATTTTTGCCGTTCTCAATCACGCGTCGTCTCCATTCGTCAGGAAGTGACAGAACGATACGTTGTTATCTTTCCACCACGATGACACGCAATGTGACACATTGTCATGGTGTCTGGACATCGCTTTCGTATATTTCGGGCTCGTGTGTGCGGCATGGTGAAACCAAAGGAACTATGCGTCACCATGCGGCCGCGTCTCAACACGCGAAATGTGGTCGCATGTCACCTTTCAAGGTTAGCGCCCTGTGAGCGCCGTGGCCAGACGTGGCTGCTAGGCGATGAGCGTTCAGTTGGAGTTGCGAATATTGCGTAAATGCTAGCAAATAAAACATATACGTAGACACAAGGTATATCGATGCGGCTTGCCACTGTTCGTTAAATACAGCATTTCTCTCAATTTTCTTGTCGTAGTCATAGGTAACTGCTAATGGGGTTGAACGAGACCCATGCACTATTCGTTCTCACCGCTTGCAGAAACCTCAAATGCACTTCACAGAACTTAGTTTGGGAATGCATTCTGTCGGCTATGAGAAGTATTATAAGTTACTAAGCCTGCTTAGGATTGATCCAACTCTTCTGTTTGCTCTGACAATTGTCTTTGCTGTCAGAAAACAACCGATTGATTTCTGCATTCACTTTTATGACCCAAGCAAAACTTGACTTCCTCACCAGGGCATGCATCGCTTCAGATACCGGCTTGTTTTGCGTGCTAGCCGGAAGCGTATGCCTTGAACTCTGTTCTGTGTCATTTCTACATTCGTACGGCACAAGGTAGACACTCCCCAATCGGACGAGCATTACTAGTTCGAAGGCAATGTCTCAGTCACCTGGTAGACCTAAGAAGAAAACTTCCGAAAAAATGAAAAGGTCATTCTCCTGAATCTATCGCAATCCCGTAGGCGCTTCTGTGCAGCTTGCATCTCCATAATGTGTCCTAGACATAAATTCAGTTTTTATTTATCTTGTTTCTCGCACCTGTTTTACAGTAGAAACAGACGTTCTTTAAAACTACATGGCGAAGTGCTGCTACAAACTAATTCACAAGCTAATTTTCGTGACGACCCTACACTGTTCATGTCATCCAAAACGTAGCCTTCTTTAGAAGTATGTTGCCCCGTTGATGGACTGCTGTAATCGAAGAAATCCTGCAGTGAGGCATTGACACCCACTGTATGCCTTTTTTTTAATTATGCATTGCGAAAACGTGGACACGAGAAAAAGTACGACACACCCTATGGCGCAAACAAGAAGTGGCTTTTCTTTGCGCCGTCTGTATTTTTCATACTGCTGGGTGAAAGGGAACGTCAAAGGCCTAGTATATGCCACTGAAGATGGAATGAGCGTTGTATAATCTGCATGCAAGATATCTGGTGGAGCAAGTTTAAGGCGTCTTTTTAGTACAAATAGCCGTTTTACGGCTGTGTGAATACGGTTCTATGCGTTACTTTCACACCTCATATGAAATCAACTTAATATTCCCAAGTATACTGGCCAAGAGAAAGCACCTCTTAGTGCAAGAAAAGTTAGACTTGTAATTTTTACGAATTATGGCCTAAAAATAGGGTTACCAAACCTTCACTGAAAAAAAAAGTTGAAGTGGGGAGGAGTCAGTAGCGAGAACTAACAAAATCAGTTTTCAATATTATGGCCACGAGCTGCCTACCAGGTATTCGCAGCATTTACTTTTGCTGCATAATGTACTCGTAACAGTGGCGGCTCTTCTCGCGAAAGTTCCGCTGAAGCGGATAAAGCCTTTCGTAGCCTTTGATCCAAAGTGGTTTTAAGTTTCATGGCAAAAGCGTGTCTACAACAATTCTTTTTTTTAAATTTATCCCTCGTAAACACTTGCATGACTCACTGGTGCCAGTAAGTGAAAGTGCGTGTTTTTCCTCGTCAAGCGACGTGCTTTTTGAGTATTCCGAGCCTAACGCTCAGGTAGTTGGTTCGATCTCATGAGAACAGGTCTTTTCAAAGCAACTGACAGAACCACGCTGTCTCCCACGCCTCCAAAATTTTCACTCAAAAATTGAGAGACTCGAATGCATATGGGGGCGGAATCCCTTATGCGTCAACTCAATTGGACTCATTCAGACTAGTATTGAGCCGCGAGTCTGAGTTTGAGTAGCCGCGGCTGAGTAGTGTTATTTGGCGAGCTTGACTCCGATTGAGTCCGGCCGAAGAAAATTTTCGTGAGTGTAAGTCAGAGTGAGTCCGGTTCCGTAAACTTTTGGTGAATACTTGTCTGAGTGAGCTCTAAGCGCCAAATATAATTCACAGGTGAGTCTGAGTGAGCTCAGAACTTTTTGATGACCTGTGCTGGAAACACAGTACCACCAAAGGAGGGCTTGAATCTTCACAGCCATATGCTAACGTCTCATACAAGAGCTGCTTTTTATACATGCCCTTTTCTCACCTACAGCTTCTTCTCCCAGAAGCATTGAGGTATTGAAAGTAAATTAGTATATGAATGAATAAATAGGTTATAAAAACGAATTAAACAAACAAACCAAAATTGATAATCGTTCTTCGAGAATTTGACACACAAAATGTAACTTTGTATGAACAGTTTTTTTATTTCGTCTGAGAACTGATGTGCAATGTATTCCGTGATTCAAAGGTTTTCCGTGAAAAAACACATCAGGACTGTTTGACAAAGTTTGTGAGTCATTCCTGGCCATAGTTGCAGGGGCTGATGAACTTGCTGTCTTGGAGTATAAAACTATCGTGAGAACTTGTAATTACCTAACAAATAAATATATTGAAACTCTAATTTTTAGCCCTTGTATCCATATCCACTGCCATATCCGTAGCCGCTGCCGTATCCGTAACCTCCATATCCACCACCATACCCGTAGCCGCCGCCATATCCGTTGCCTCCATATCCACCACCATATCCGTAGCCACCTCCGTATCCACCGCCGAGGCCAGAGTGAGCGAGAAGAGCGCCTCCGCCGCTCACTTTGTTCACGTGGTGAACCGTTCGGACGACGAAGGCTGGTCCAGCCACGGCTTTCGCAAATGGAGGTCCACCGCTGAGCAGAGCGACGCTGCTGCCGATGCCTACGCCACCGACTCCCGCACCACCACCTGTATCCCAAACCTCCACCGTAGCCGCCATAGCCAAGGCCATATCCACCATATCCAAGACCACCTAGGCCATAGCCGCCGTAGCCAAGGCCATATCCACCGTATCCAAGGCCACCTAGGCCGTAACCACCGAAGAGTCCACCAGCAACGGCACAGGCGACGAAGGCAGGGAAGACAAGGACGGTGCTCTGCGTAATATAAAACAAACCGGGTACTTTAGTGACAGTGGAATTTATTTTTGCTAGACAATGTAGGTAAGCAGGCTTCATTATATGTTGGTGAACCAGGGACATGAAGGAGGGTTTTTATGCCCTAATACAAGAGTTGGTAAGTGCAGCTGACGGGCAGCAGCAGCGCGTGACACTGCGCTATAAGGTTTTTGGAATTAAGTCGTAACACTCCACCCTCATTAACTAACTGGTGAATACTGCTCGACTATTGGGTGAACACGGGAACAGCTTTCCGCACCTCTCGGTGAGAAATCGTGGTATCAGTATTTGTAAGCTGGCTGTGAACGTTCAGCACCAAGAGTCACAGTCGAAAGACTTTTTTTTTCTCAGTAACGTATGCTGTTTACGTCACCGCAACCTTGTGACGTGCATGCAGTAAATAAGCATAATTCAAAGTATGTTTTTGTATACGAGTATTGCCAATTCACCATATTAGTTATCTCTACCTTCAAAGCAGCCCTCCCTTCTTGCCCGCATAGTTTGCTGTTGTCCCCCGGTGCGTCAGCTTGATGCACATAGGCCCCCACTGGCTTAATTGGTTGCCAATATTGTACCTTATTGCCTAGAAAGCGAGTGCCTCGGTGACATTGCTAGCCTTTTCTCTGCGTGCTTGGTGAGCAGCAAATGCCCTTCAGTTATACATTGTGATAGTGTTGTTAGACATTTACAAAGCTTGAAGAATGGAAGTTCTACAGCGTGACCGCAACTACGGCACTAAGGTTATTTCTTGCCTCTCGCTTCGCATTCGCGACATTCATCAACAAAAATATACAGCAGAATTCGTAGTAGCACAGTGTCTCATACTCAAACAAGTCTTTGTGACTCGCAAATTGGCAATGGCCTGTCAAAGAAACCCTCGAAAAAATGCGTTGCTTAAATGAGTAGTACTGTAACCAGTACTAATGTTCTCTTGATAGTAGAAATAGAGTAAAGGATACTATAGATCAATCTCACGCTTAGCAGAAGCATTCCAAACTCGAAGTAGAACTTAATTAGAGCGTTTGACTAGTTTATTTTTTTACAACCATGATGCATAGTAAAATCCATGTTTTTTTTTTCTAATAGGCTTATTGTAATGCAATGTGTGAAAAAACTGTGGATGAATGTTTTGCTGCAAAATGTGGTGCAAGAACAATGAGATCATTTTATACATTTGAGTATTTTCTATTTCATCCAAAAATTACGAAACTTTTTATTGCAAGACTTTGAATTACCTCCTTATAATTATATGACAAGTTATTCGCAAAAAGCACCGACTTGGGTGGTAGAGAGCGAAATTCCCTGATAGCCATTTGCAATCCAACAATATGAGCAGGTGAAGCTATTTCACCATCGTGATCCCTGAAACCTGCATTTTGAAGCATAAGAAGCTTTTCATAATAAAAGTTTTAGGAAGGCTTTATGACAAAAACTAGAGAACTAACTTTGAAAATCCCGTTTTTTTTCTTTTCAGTCACATCTGACTTAAGACTTTTTTTTTTCGTCTGAGTGTCAGTGAACTTGATGCAAACTGTATAAACCACGCTAGTAGAGCATTGTAGCTTTTTGCATTACTTATTTTAGCACAATTTAACTGTTGCAGAACGATGAGTGCGGCGAGTTGGGCGGGTTGGTAACGATGCATGACTACGAAATCTTAGCGCCACAAAACGGAGACAAAAGAAAGAAACGTAGACAACACGAGCGCTAACTTCAAACCAAGTTTATTAGGAAACACACATGAATATATACGAACTCAAATCTCAGAAATCTCACGCCTTCTTTTTTTACACATATATTGTTATCCAATGTCATACAAAAAACAAAAAATGTATTATCAGGAAATAAACAGGTAAACGCGCATGTGTAACTGGAACCAAGAAAAGTTCTAAGTTTTCTTGGTTCCAGTTACACATGCGCGTTTACCTGTTTATTTCCTGATAATACATTTTTTGTTTTTTGTATGACATTGGATAACAATATATGTGTAAAAAAAGAAGGCGTGAGATTTCTGAGATTTGAGTTCGTATATATTCATGTGTGTTTCCTAATAAACTTGGTTTGAAGTTAGCGCTCGTGTTGTCTACGTTTCTTTCTTTTGTCTCCGTTTTGTGGCGCTAAGATTTCGTAGTTGCAGAACGATTGGGCTCCACAATGCGAGAATTGTTTCTTGAGCTATTATCAGTAACATAAAAACTACGCATGTTTATGGTTAGTCTAACTGCTCTGCTAACCAATGTATTAACTGTTGCAATTAGAAACCATGTCAATAATTTTACGCTATAGTGATGTCACAACGAAGCTTCAGTTTCTCACCAGGGCGTTCATGGCTTTGAAGGGCTGCTTCTTCTACGAGCTAGTCGACAACGTATGCCTGGCCACTGTGTGCTGTGCCGTTTATATACGTTTACTGGACGAGGAAGACACGATCCCTATCGGTCGAGGGTTACTACTAGTTCGACGGCATTGTCGCAGCCACCACGTTGGGAGGAAACTTTTTAGAGATGGGCTGAGGAAAAACGCTGTACTTAAGCATCTATCGCATTTATGTAAGCCGTTCGGTGCTTTCTGGTTGCGCGCAACAACAACAAAAAAAACGACTTAGTGGAAGAAGCTCGCTTTTTCATCATGTGTTTGAGTCGGAAGTCTGGTTTGTCTTCCGCTTGTTTCTCGCACACACTTCAGCGTAGGAACAGGTGGTGCTTGAAATCAGCATAGCGCTCATCATAAATACAACTGTGCAATGATCTTCGTGGCGGTATCAACTAGGTCATCACATTTTCAGCGCTGCTTTATTTAGAAATGTGGCTTGCTGATCACGAACAGCTGATGGCCGAAAGACACGTGCAACATGGCCAGCGTAACTGCAGAGATCACGAGAACCATTTAGCTGGACTTTATTACCTGATTATTTTGGTCACAGGTGTTTAATAACTTTCTTGAATCTGAAAGTTTCCCGTAATATTGTTTCTGAAATTGGCTTTTTTTCAGCGAGTAGTTTTGCGTCGAGATATTCGACCATGTGTGCAGGCGTGTAGTAGAAGGGTAGACGAGGAAGGTTGCCGGTTATTTTAGTGTTGTTCAGTTCCATTTTAGACACTTCGCATGCCTCCCAGTGGCACTGTGATTTTATTTGACCCCGGAACAGCCCCAGCGATCACTGAATAGGTGCGAAGTTAGTGATGCCTGCCGTCGGATGAGAGGCATTATGATGCCTCTCATCCGATGGCAGACATCACTAACTTCTTAAATATAAGAAGGAAAATACACGGCGTATTCGCGCTTTATGCGAATTGCACAGGTTGCCGATATTAGCAAGGATTATGGCTCAAGTACAAATAATAGGAAAGCTCTACGCACCTACTCCGCATCTGCTACTAGAAAAAAAACTAATGAATGCAGTATCCAAACCAACTTGACACTAACGAGGCGGGAAGAGGTGCGCAGTAATCAAAAGTGTTTTAGTTTTGCATATCACTCATTTAGGAAGAGAGCTTTAAATCAACAGGCAACAACTACTCTTTCAAACGACTGGAAAGCAAGATCTCCAAACAGCCCAATAAAGCTCTACGCATCGCAAGATTCATCACTGAAGATTAACTCGGTCAAATATGTTAGAAACCAGATCAATATTGCACACAAAACTAAGTACTTTTTATTTCTTGGTTTGACTGGGGTGGAGTGCCTTTCTCCTGCACATCCTCCCACTTCCTAATTTCACTTGCCTCTGCCCTGTTCATTTTTGTTTTCTATTTGGCGTTGCCTCCTATATGTTTTCGGTGCGTGCCGCGGTTTTTTTTTCTTTTCCTTACAAAAGGATTGTGGCACATAACTGCATGACAGTGGCACATACCCAGCCCCGGGTATGAGTCACTGCTTTTCGGAAATTGTTTGATGATATACGTGATGGGATTGTGATTTATTCATGTCATGACCAGCGAGTCGTGTTGGTAAAAATATCTCACTCTCCTATTAGGTTGGTTTATCCCTAGTGAAGGGGGTGATCTCGAGGGCACCAAGATAGATAGATAGATAGATAGATAGATAGATAGATAGATAGATAGATAGATAGATAGATAGATAGATAGATAGATAGATAGATAGATAGATAGATAGATAGATGTTCAAAGTGCCTGCAGTACGCAAAGAAATGCGTCGCGTTTAAAGTTGGATGTTGCGACTCATACTGCTCGCAACAGTACGTTTTACTGCATGTATCGGCATGCGATAATCGCATGCTGCTGATCTGTTACGTGCCGCATACATTCATTTAGGAATATATATGCACTGACTCAATATTATTCACAAATATACACCTATTCCTTTCGTACTTCATGTGTAGTAGAGATACATGCAAGTGCGTTCGGTCATGTCTAGTATTTATGAGATTTATTTATTGTCAAAATCGGCGACATTTTATTTCGTTGCATGGTCCCTCGGCACCACCGAAAAGCTGGCAATGGAACAGCCAGCGCACTCAACCTTCAGACGTTTGTCGTAGTGCTTCTTGCACCCGCGGGGGTTTCTGGTATTGCTTTAAAATGATCGATTGCGGTAATAAGACCATACGATGACCTGCCTACAGCTGTACAAAACTCAATTTTTATATGCATGGTTATATACAAACTCTCTTAAAACGGGTTACAATGTGATTGGTACATGTGGACCTGTCAGCTAATAGCTGAGCTAGCTGGTATAAAACCAGATCGTGCCTGAGCGAGGCCGCATTTATGTATGAGACCGAAATGTCGTGTACCAATATATATTTCGTTCTAGTTTATCATCACACCATATCTACTCTAACCGTTGAATCTGTGGGTGCTGTCTTTACATTTTTATATTTGGCTCATTCATTTGCTCCGCTGTATGCGCTGCGTGCTCATATTAAAAAAGTTTATATTGTGTGTCTGAATAGTCTATGTAAAATTTTGAGAATTCGAGCTGGAATAATGAAAGATGTACAATAAAGCATATATTCTTTGCCGTAATTTTAGGTGCATTATTAGAGCACTTTTCATTTTGACAGTCCCGAGAATCATACCTTTCCATTGCTGTTTTCTAATTTACAGTGTTTCGTAACTCGAACTTGCCTAGATAAAGCTAACCACTTGTGAAGTAAAAAAAGACACACACACGGCAGAATACGTGGATTTACGTGCCTTCGCTGCAGCGGTCTTCAATACTGACAAACAAATGGTCAGCTGATGCAGTGTAAGCAGCGGACACCCTAAGGTAGCGGAAGAAGTGACACTAGCCCTAGATATATGTTTACCCTAATTGTTGATTTATTCGGAGTGGTTCGCAGACAGTGGTCAGAAATTTTGCACAAGGTATAATTTCTCCAGAGACCACGGCTATTCTTTATACCAACGCAATGTAAGTAACCTCCTATGAGATGGAGGAACTGCATATTATATGGTTCCCTGCTCACAAGTTCCTCGACACCCCCGTTCCAAACCTCAATGGGGAGGCCCATCACGTAGCGCGAGGTCTAACGTTCCGCGCCCGCGTAGCAAGGTCCTCTTCAGAGGAGGGGCATCTCATGGAGGGCTGGACAAAGAACAATAGATTGACCCAATACTGCCACAATACAAACTTTCATAAACAATCTTGACGTTATTATCCACCTGGGCACAAACGCAACAGATCCGAAGTGGTAGACTGGTGGTAATTACAAGCCCAGACCTTCCCTAACCCCATTCATTTCAAGAGGATATACCCAAATGTCTATCCAGATAATACTTGCAGACTGTGCAGCTGTACTCACGCTTCACTTAGGCTAATTCTCTGGGAATGTGCGGTTTTAGAGGAAGAAAATTCAGTCCCACTAGATGAGGCTTCGGCGCAGTGGATGTCTGTGCTGCGTAGCTCCAACCTCCAGCATCGACGAGGCCATTCAGCAAGCCCGTGAGGTGGCGAGGAGACAGTGTGGGTCTCCGGTCCTTTTCGGAGGTGGCGTAGACCTAGGCCGCGAATTCACGGCAGTTATTTGTAAACTTGATATTACCACACACGAATATGTCCATCCACAAAGTATAAAAGTGAATAGTGATGTCTGAGGCCGCGCACCACTCTGCCACAGCCAGCCGCTTAGTGGCCGCGCCACCATTGAGGGTCATTAAGTTCTGCAACACTTTTAGGCGCGAAACAATCAATTACTTGTTGCTAAGCATGCTACAAAGTCAGAACTAGCGACATCCGCGAACGATCTTGCGTTTGTGAAGGCGATTTCAGCACAAAGTGCGTTTACTCGAGAGCAAAAGGCTGCGAAGTCGCGCGCTTGAAGGGTGCGCACTGAAGAGTGGGCCAAGGTATGGCAACCGCTGTAGCAGACGACGCACTTGTGTCCACCCTGAACGAAGCGGAAGCGATCGAGCGCATCGAGGCGCTCTACTTATTTCAAATTTCAGGTATAATCGTGCTCGAGGGTGGCGGGTTCTCGCAGCATTGCTGCGATGCGCCTCTGTGCCCTTGTCTTGAAGACAAAAACGGCAGGACCCGTAAACTCTCAAGTTCTACACACTACCGTACAGCATGATAAAATAAACAGCGGTGCACTTGCGGCTTCAAAGACCCAAAGTGGATCTACTGACCCCTGCATTATGATCGCATGGTGGCCGCCATTCGCGCCATTGCACCTTCTTGTAGAGGCGCCCTCCTCGAAAGCCAAATTTTGTTCCTAACACACTTCGAATACTACTACTTTGTACCTTGCAATATTTGCACAGGCACAGGGAAACACAGAAAAGACACACAAAAAGGCGCAATCTACCAACTGGTTTTTGCTTGCAAAAGTTCACCTAATAATCTCAGGTATACGAGCAATCTAGTCAAAAAGAAAGAACAATAACATTTTGACCTGATTCTGCATATCTGAGGTTAATAGAAGAAGGTATTCGAGAAATGAGCCAGCTGTTAGATTGTGCCAGTTTGTGCGTCTCTTCTGTGACGCCAGTGCGCCTCCGCAAATATTTCAAGGTGATTATGCTGAAACTCCGACACAAGTAGTCAAAGTTTCTGGAGTCCTCTACTACAGCGTCTCTCATAAGCATATGGTGATTATAGAACGTCAACTCCACATATAAATCAATTCTGTTCCATCTATGAATCGTAGTTTTGCTACATCTCGGCATAACGCTACACCTAAGATAAAAAGAAATTGCTGCTATACCAAGTAGTTTTCCTCTAGCCATGTGCTGCCTCATTATTATATTGCAATGTGTTTTGGTCCACCTGACTTATATTTATCAGCAGTCTATCGGCATCATTATCCTCATTTCAAATGTACGGCTGGCAAACGGTAGCATCGGCAGGTAACGGCTCACGTTGCGTTCGGATGGGTATCTGGCTGTTTCGCTTTGCT